CCTCTCCCTCTCCCTCTCCCTCTCCCCCCTCTCTCCCTCTCCCTCTTCCTCTCCCTCTCCCTCTCCCTCTCCCCCCTCTCTCCCTCTGCCCCTTCTCTCCCTCTCTCCCTCTCCCCCCTCTCCCTCTCCCCCCTCTCTCCCTCTCCTTCTCCCTCACCCTCACCCTCACCCTCACCCCCTCTCTCTCTCCCTCACCCTCACCCTCACCCCCTCTCTCTCTCCCTCACCCTCACCCTCACCCTCACCCTCACCCTCACCCTCACCCTCTTTCTCTCTCTCTCTCTCTCTCTCTCTCTCTCTCTCTCTCTCTCTCTCTCTCTCTCTCTCTCTCTCTCTCTCTCTCTCTCTCTCTCTCTCTCTCTCTCTCTCTCTCTCCTCTCTCCCTCTCTCTCTCTCTCTCAATTTATTTTTACAGGTATCTTTTTTTCTCTTTCTCAACTTTATATGGTTTTATATAACAAGGACATAGAAATGTGCATATATCAGACAGTAAAGTGAAAAGATCAGATCTTGACAAACAATGAAAAATCTTACGTCACATCTAAACAACTTCCAGATATCTGTTTTTTCTTTTTTTGTCAGAATATGGTGGTTTAAACTTGAATTATAAATACCATGCTGCCTACCTAGAAGCCTTAGGTCACATTCGAGCAGGGGGCGTTAGTTTAGGCATTGGTGTGCAGACAGATGTAGCTACACCTGCCCTATCCAGGTAATAAATTCAGATTACAAAGAAAGTGACTCTACCATACTTTTAAAACATATAATACCTGGGTTTAATTAGGTTCTACTGATTTTCAAAATTTTGTTGTTCCTTTACTTTGTTAGTATAGGATTTTTTAAGTTCAAATATTGTTAAAATAAATCTTAATAGCTGCCTTAGAGTCATTTATAACATTGGCACTGATAAGATTGATTAAGCAGTGACATACCTTAGAATCTAGTGTGAATAAATATTCTGTCTGCAGGTTTGGAAGTGACTATGTGAAGAGGGAATTCCTAGCACCAGCAATCTCTGGAGATGTGGTCGCATGTCTAGGAGTAAGTGAGCCAGGTGCTGGCTCAGATGTTGCAGGGCTGCAGACGACAGCACGTCAGCAGGGGGATGACCTGATAATCAATGGACAAAAGCTGTGGATTACAAATGCTTGTCAGGCCGACTGGATCTGCATCTTAGCCAATACTTCCATAGGACCTCCTCACCGCAACAAGTCTTTGATATGTGTGCCTATGAAAACTCCAGGTGAGGATGGGTCTCATTATAATTATATTGCAATGGGAGTTTTGAGTGAGTTTTCCTGTTTTGCCCCATTCATTTTACATTCAATATGTTGACCAGTTTTGTTGTTTACTTTTATGAAAAATGTCTATGATTGCTGTAGGTGTTTTTAGTTTTCAGAAGGAATGTATATACATAAGTATATTTTTTTATTTATATGTATATAAGCTTCTTTTTCATATATATATTTTTTAAATTCAGTATGTCATATGGGCACACCATCCTTACATAAATGAATTTTATTGCTCAATCTTCTCAAATTAGTGTACAGCATAAGTTACATATAGCAAGTGGCTTTGTTTTCACTTTTTATCGCATTTTCTTTACAGTCACTTTGTAAAGTGTTTCATTCCTGAAACTCCTAAAGTGGAATATAAGTCATCTTTACAAAATAGTATCTTCTCTTATGTGAAAGGGATAATATTCAATAAAGAAAACCTACTTATTTTTTCACTCATTTACTTAACTTGCAGGTGTCAATGTTGCAAGAAAGCTTGATAAGTTGGGAATGCGAAGTTCTGACACAGGTCACATCTTCTTTGATGAAGTACGAGTCCCAGCAAAAAACATTGTCGGAGAAGAAGGAATGGGATTCGTATATCAGATGAAACAGGTATCACTAATCTCTTTCTTTTCTTTCCCTCATAGATATCAGCAATGGCAAATTAATTGATTAGATTAAAACCCCCTCTCTATCAGTCCCTTGAAAATTTAAGTATGTATATTAATCAAGAACATATGAAATGTGGTAAGTTGTTCCAGGTCTTGAACATAATCACTTGAAAAGAAGTTAACTTTGACAAATTGTGGCGGATTTTGTTCTTTTCATTATTTTATGGCTTTGTTTTATGAGCTGTTCATGAGGTTTAACTAAATGCCGCTGGGAAAACACTGTGCCTATTTTAGAATTTTTTGTGAAATGTCTCTGCACATAGATGGTTCTGCTAGCACTTACCCACAAAGGATTCAGTTAGATCTTGTGATCTTACCTGATTACAGCTTTACTAGGATTGGTGGGAAAAACATATTTTTTACTAATAAATATCAAGGGTGTTATTTTTATTATAGCCATGATAATTACTTTAATGTTATTAACATTAGTAACTGCAATGTAAAATAACAAAATATTTTTGAAAATCAGAGAAAAGGGTAGACAGGTGAAACAGGTAGTGATTGGCTCATTAGTGACTTAGTACTTGTGGAGCCATCTATGAGTAAGAACAATTAATAAAATGAACTTACATTGGACAAGGCATGTATGTACATGCCATGCCCATTGGTTTAGGGTTAAGTTTATAAAGTGTGGAGATGTTTTGTCAAAGCTGCATTCTGTAAGCTGGTTTATTGAGACTGATTAGAATAAAGTTGTCAAGTCCATCATTGTTGTCTTCTTTACAGTTTCAAGAGGAGCGCCTTGCTATGGCCATAGGGACTCTGGTTCCACTGAAAACAATTATGGAGGAAACCATTAACTACACAAGGGAGAGGAAAGCTTTTGGGCAGCCTCTGCTTAACAATCAGTACATTCACTTTCGCTTAGCAGAGCTAGAAACAGAACTTGAGTGCTTAAGGTCACTGATCTATAGAGCAGCTGGTTAGTATCCATCTTTTTCTTCTTTTAATGTTGTGGACTTTTGTTTCTTTTTGTGTTAAATTCTCATGAATATATCTTCTAAAAATTTTTGTTAATTTTGTTGCACACAAATGGGTCTATAAGTACTCAGCCACCAAGTCCCCATTGCTTTAATTTTCTTTTTTTCTCAATGCTTTTGATACTAATAGTTGTAGTAGTAATGTTGACGTTATGAGTGTTAAAATGTTCTTGAAATACTAATATCAATAAAAAATAAAAATAAGATTCTGAAAATCAAGGAAAAGTGTAAACATGTGACATATGTAGGGACTAGTAGTTGATTCCTTGGTGACTAAGTACTTATGGAGCCACCTATGTGTAAACACAATTAAAATCACAGTGGACATAACATATATATCATTCCAGCCCACCACAGAGGTTAAAGAGTATGGGATTTAGCAAATGTAGAATGTGACTTGATTGTAACAAGCATTTTGAATGTTAACTCAGAATATAGACTGGAAAATTTGTATGGTATTTAGATAAATAAACTGAAGTTATTTTATGAATATATTTCTTAGTAATGGTCATTTGAAATAAAGGGGATTATCATTATTGTGTTAAAGTCTTTGTCTATGAATCTATTTAAAAAGTCTAAACACACATTCTTTGTGTAACTTGAGCATTAAGCATCTTTAAGAATTTTTTTTTCTTTCCTGCATCTTTTTGGTAATTTCAGATCTTCTTGTGGCTGGCCAGGATGTTACAATGTTGGCATCAATGTGCAAATTGAAATCTGGTCGTCTTGCTCGTGTCTTCACAGATTCTTTACTGCAGTTTTGGGGTGGCATGGGTTTTACCAATGAGGTTAGTTTATTGAATACTTTTGCCTGACACATTATATATTAGAAAACTTAAAGAATATGGTAGCATATTCAGGGAAATTCAGGGAAAGAGGATTACTGATGAAAAGTCAGAAAGACTTGTACCTGTACAATATAAAACACACACACACACACACACACACACACACACACACACACACACACACACACACACACACACACACACACACACACACACACACACACACACACACACACACACACACACACATACATATATATTACCTCCCCCCTCCCCTATCACTTGCTTCTTGTTGATGTGGGGGGGGGGGCTTAGGAGACGAGGACTGAGGCCCAATGTAGGGGATCACCCATATCTTGGTCCTCAGCCCATGCTTCAACTAATTTTGCATGGCCTTTTCTTCTCCTCCTTTCCTTTTCTTTTCCTTCATTCCCTTATTCTGTCCATTTGTCCTAACCATTACCTCATTTTTGCTGTTTTTGCCACAGTACTTTTTCATAATCCTCCTTAATCCCTCAGCTGCTGCTCCTCCTAACAACCTTTACCTTATAGATCCTCATCAACTCCCCCTCTCCACCCTCTCTGGCCTTTGATGTCATATAGCCCTTCCTTACCTAGGGCTTTGCCTCCAAGCCGTACTCTATCACTATATTTTGAATATGCTGTTAATGACCTTAGATGTTAGCGCGGTAGATTATTTTTTTTCTTTCTGATATTCTAATGATTACAAGCAATCATTTTACTTATTTATGTAATCTGTACAATACCCTACTGACTGTCAGCCAGTCCACTACTGAGGATGAAGACCTGTTGAATTCTATAACTTAATTTGTATTATCCTTCTTAAACAGGTGTTGGTAAGCCGTCTGTATCGAGACTTGCGGCTCTTCTCCATTGGTGGAGGAGCAGATGAGGTAATGTTAAGTGTCATCTGCAAGTACATGAACACACTGCCTCATGTACCTGTGAAGAAGGTGAAGTAAGTTCCTGTAGTGAATGATAACAGATATACCAGAAATAGCAACTGAACAGCAAGGAAAGGAATTAGAAATTATAGACAAAATAAAGATGTTGATGAGAGTGCAGTCTAGAAATTACGAATAATGTTGAAGATGAAGGTAATGGTATAGAAAATACAAACTGAATATAATGCTTATTATTTGGCATGTTTTTGATCTATCTCTTTTTTTTATAAATCTGTTTAATTGTTTTAACACATCAACATCAGTCTTTAATTAGTTGCAGCTTTATGCTCTATCAGATTTTGACATTTTATACTTTTCCATTTCTAGAGATTATTAGTACCTAAAGATTTATTTTCTTTCTTATATATTGTTCTTTGAAGACTATAATTGCATAAGTTTACACATGTCCTTTGTACCTTGTTAATTCTCTTTTTTTTGTAACCTCTTTTTCTTTCTCATTTTTTTTTCTTTGGTCAACAGTAAACATTTAGAACAAGAACATTTTTAGAATGTACTTAAGGTAGGAAAACACTGATTTACAATTCCATAATGAAAGTAGCCAGACCCTGAAGATGGCTCTCTGCTCACAATAAGAAACAAGTCAATGTGACTCACCAATAGATCATATAGAAAAGAAAATGGTGGCTGCTGCACTAAAAGAAAAAAAATGTCTAAGCCCACACACAGTTGCTGAAGACTTTTACTAAGATTTTATGAAGGTTGATAGTTAACCAAAGTTTTGTGGTGAGATTGCCTGCAACAGAAATATTTGTTATCATACTATTATTAACAGAATTTGTACAAGTGTTGATTGCTCATATTGATGGTTCAAATTAAATGTGGAAGTATTTTTGTACACATATTTTGTAAAGGCTTGTTTAATTTGAATTTCCACAAGTGCTGTAAGGGTAAAATGAATAAATAAATAAAAATATATGATTTGATAATTACAAAATCATATTTCATATCCTAACATACACACAAATCCCATACAAGTTACAAAGAAGGATTGCCATATAGGATATTATTAGGACTATAAGTGGGAACCTTAAGTAAGACCAAAAACCATAGATTAGATGAGGAATCCTTTACAATAGAGGGAAAATTAGGTTATAAAGTTACATGCAGAATCATTAATTATTAATTTAATGTTTTATAAATTAAACATAGACAGTGAGAATAATAAACAGAAAATTGAAGGTGATGTCAGAACTCATAGACTGAATTATTAGCAGGAAAACAGAATGGGAAAAAAGCAGAAAAAAGTTCATGTATGACCAAAGTAGGTAGACTTTGTAATATAAAGTTCCAGATACAATTTTTTTTTCCAACTTGGGTTATTAACCCATTCGCCCGGGATTTGTGTTCTGTCCCCTGTAGTTTTTGGTGAATTTTGTTACATACAGATGGCTCCACACGTGCTCAGCCGGCAAGGAGTCTATCAGCAGGCCCTAGTTACCAATCCTGATTTTCCCAATCATTGAATTGGCGGGAAAATTAATACCATTGTTATCGATACTGTTATTATTGTTATTGATGTTATAATTATTAAATTGTCATTAAACTATTTTAGACAATGAAATGATACAAAAAAAACTTTCCTAAAGTGAAGGAAAAGGGTAAACAGGTGAGATAGGTAGTTCCGATAAACTTGCTATTTGGTGACTAAGAACTTGTAGAGCCATCTATGTGTAAATATAATAAATAAATGTGCATTACAGTGGGCATGGCATCTATTCTTGCCACATTGGGCGAATGGGTTAAACAGATATTTTGGCTTTTTGGCTTTTTCACGGTTTTCAGGAAGATTCATTTTGCCTCTTGGCTTTTACTGGTCCTTGGCAAGCCAACTTTCTAAGAAGTATGGCAGTTTTACTAGACTGATTTGTCTAATTTGTCCTACATACGAAATCATATAATTTTGTCCTCATAAATGTCATTGAGCTGCTTCCCATTTTCTGTATTTCTATTTGTTTAGAGTGATCAGTTATTGCTCAAGGGAGGGAGGAGGGAAGAAGGAGGGAAGAATAGAAAAAAAGTGTCAATGCAGACTGTTACTGTATATTGTATACTCGCTCTCTCTCCCTCCCTCCCTCTCTCTCTCTCTCTCTCTCTCTCTCTCTCTCTCTCTCTCTCTCTCTCTCTCTCTCTCTCTCTCTCTCTCTCTCTCTCTCTCTCTCTCTCTCTCTCCCTCCCCCTCTCCCTCTCCCTCTCCCTCTCCCTCTCTCCCCCCCCTCCCCCCTGTCTCTCTCTCTCTCTCTCTCTCTCTCTCTCTCTCTCTCTCTCTCTCTCTCTCTCTCTCTCTCTCTCTCTCTCTCTCTCTCTCTCTCTCTCTCTCTCTTCTCTTCTCTTCTTCCCTCTCCCCTTACTTGTGGGGGGGGGGGGGGCTTAGGAGACGAGGACTGAGGCCCAATGCAGGGGATCACCCATATCTTGGTCCTCAGTCCTCGCCTGGCCTTTTCTTCTCCTCCTTTCCTTTTCCTTTTCTTCATTCCCTTGTTCTATCCACCTGCCCTAATCGTTACCTCATTTTTGCCGTTTTTGCCACAGTATACAATATATAGTCACAGTGCACTTTGACACTTTCTCTTTTTCTATTCTTCCCTCCCTCCCACCTCTCTCTCTCTCTTTCTCTATCTCTCTTTCTCTCTCTCTCTCTCTCTCTCTCTCTTTCTCTCTTAATCTCTCTCTCTCTCTCCTTTTCTCTCCTCTCCTCTCTCTCTCTCTTTTTTTCCTCTTCTCTCTCTCTCTCTCTCTCTCTCTCTCTCTCTCTCTCTCTCTCTCTCTCTCTCTCTCTCTCTCTCTCTCTCTCTCTC